ACGCAAGCGGACAGCCGTACCCAAGAGTTACGTACTTAAACTTATAATTGCAAATTGTTAAACTTTTATCCATATCTAATATAAATAGCCGACTCGGGCGGAAGAGGAAGTAACCTCCTGGAGGGACGACGAGGAGGCACCGAGCACCATCAGCTGGGCTCTAACGCGCTCCGCTGCGGTTTTTTTTTCTTTTTCTTGTACCCACACTGTTTAATTTATTTAATTTCTCATTGTAAATTTGAACTACTTTTTTTTTTGAAATATACATGTATGTATAACTGAGGTGTAAGTTGTTTTCCTCTAAAGAGTCCCATAGGTTTCCCACACGCACACACTTCTATTCTCATACAAGGCGCCCTGAGGTAATCTCTTGAATCTCTCCACTGGGTCAGCCGGTGAGTAGTCCGCCTGAGAAGAAAAGCGGCTACAGCACTACTTCATAAAAGTATATTCTGCATAGACCCAAAAATATATAATATATGGAAGATAACAATCTGTAGAATGATGTAAACAAAGTAGATCTTACATCTTCTTTTGACATACATTTGACATAAAACTTGCCTTTAACAATCCGACTAGCTAAAACCTTGCCCGTTCTCAAAAAGCTAGTGAGGATTTTTATTTGTCATTCTAAATATTATTGGTTTCAGTATATATAGTATATATTATGGACTGTATGTATATATATATATATATATATATATATATATATATATATATATATATATGTTGTGTGTATGTGAATGTGATCTTAGTGTCAATATAAAGGCTTTTTGGCGCTACACAAAAAGCAAGCGTGTCACTAATAGCGTTCCTAGTCGCGTATATTACCAGGATAGGGTTTGTAGCACTGGTAGTGATATTGTCAACCTATTTGCAAGTTATTTTTCATCAGTTTATCGCCCCAGTGCAACTGCAAATTATTGTCCTAACTTTCAAACCTCAAACTATACCATTGGACGTGTGCATATAACCGATAGCGATATATTGCAAAAATTGAAAAACGTGGATTTGACAAAAAACGCTGGCTTTGACGGTATACCACCCATCTTTATACGGCTGTGCGCGGCTGGTCTTGTAGCTCCGCTATCCATAATATTTGACAAATCTCTTAAGGAGGGAGTATTTCCTGAGTTGTGGAAGATTGCTAAAGTCACTCCTATCTTCAAGTCTGGTGATAAAAGTGACGTTTCTAATTATAGACCAATTTGTGCACTTAAATGGTTTGCTAAAATATTCAAATGCTTTGTTTATAGACATATATACAATCATTTCTCTCATCTATTGAATCCGCGTCAACATGGGTTTGTCACGGGCAGATCGACTAATTCGAACCTACTATGTTACTCTACTTATATATGTGAATCTTTCAATTACAAGCAGCAAGTAGACTCTATATATACAGATTTTTCCAAAGCATTTGATTGCGTCGACCATTTTGCTTTGCTCGTGAAGGCCCGACATGTCGGGGTGCATGGGGATCTGCATAGGTGGCTCACATCCTATCTGTTAAACCGAACTCAACTTGTTGCGCTTAGTGGGTACCAGTCTATTCCATTTTTGGCAACTTCGGGGGTCACACCCAGAGCTTGAATTTGGGGCCCCTGTTATTCCTGTTATTCGTCAATGACTTACTAAGTAAAATTGATAGTGAATGTTTAGCCTACGCTGACGACATTAAAATTTTCAGACGTATCTCCGATCACCGAGAATGGTGTGACGAGAATTATATGTCGCTAAATATAAAAAAGTGTCAGGTTATATCATTTACAAAAAACAAAACACCACTCAATTACAACTACAACATCAAGGGCATTTTAATAGATAGGGTCAAGGAAGTTCGAAACTTAGGGGTAATCTTCGACTCAACTATGTCTTTTAGACCACACTATGATCAGGTTTGTAATAGGGCTAACCGCATGTTGTCCTTCGTACTCCGGAATGCAAAACCTTTTAGACAAGCCAGTTCACTGATAATCCTATACTATGCTTTAGTTAGAAGTATTATTGAGTACTGCGTGCCCGTTTGGAATCCGATATACAAAAACCATTCAGACCGAATAGAAAGTATACAGAGGCGGTTTGTCAGAGCTTTATGCATGAAATGCGGCTTAGGACGTAAAATACCTGAATACGAGGCACGACTTCGTTACTTTAACATGGTCGGATTGGATAGGAGGAGATGGATGAGCGACATGTCTACTTTGTACAAAATATTGAATGGCTCATTTAATAGTACTCTCTTAAGTCAGGTCAGTCACTTCAAGGTACCTACTCGATCTGTGCGTACTCAGCAACTATTTTGTATACCAACATGCAACAATAATGTGTCTCAAAATAGTCCACTGTTTCGAATGTGTAGACAATATAATGATATTTGTTCTGATGTTGATATATTTGTTGGTAGTCACGGCAGATTTATGGAATCTTTGCGGAAATTAGATGCACCTTAACATGTGCGTGTATTGACTGCATGCTTAGATTATTTTTATTTTATTTTTTTATTTCTTTGTATTATGCTTGTTTATTTTTGTAACCTCATCTTACTCTGAAGCTGTATAAATCCCGAAAGCTGTGTATGGTAGTAATTGGAGTGCAGATTAAAAAATGTTATGAATATTTATAAGTAAGCACTACCTGGTCTGTATTCTGTAACTGTACCTTTTGTAAATAAATAAATTAATAAATAAATAAATGTATGTATATTTATAAATGTATATATATAATATAATATATATTATGTTAACGTATGTTTGTGTGTATGTATGCATGCATTTGTATTTATCTTTGTGTAATGTGAACAGATGTATATTTGTGTACGTGATAATGCGTTACGTGTATGTAAACTACCCAAATTTTTAAATATTTAATATCCGTATTAAGGTTGTCGATAAGACGGCCGATTGTGACGTCTATATACTAATAATTACTTATGTGGTAACTGTAAACAATACAGATATAAATAAATACATCAGTACAGAAATTTTTACATATTAATTTGACATGTTATAGTTTGTATTTATAATAATTATTATTATTATTTGGAACAATGATACAACTAGATATTCTTTTGTTTCTATTATAATTATTGTTAATTTTTGTATGCTGTGACATTCAGCTTAATATGGTGAAACTAGCTGTATCTGTTCCATCTGTTTATTGTATAACCCATATTATAGGAAATAAATTGAATTGAACTAAATTGAAAAAAAGCAATTGATTATCACAAACGTTATTTTTTTAAATCTCAAGAGTCGTTTTCAAAAGTTACAGTGTATTGGATTGGCAAGGCAGTTGTTAATGCCCCATCATTGTTACTTTGCGATATAGGCACTCGCAAGTACAACGTTCAATGTGCCAATTGGAGAACGTAATTCCCCCGTACTGGGAAACAATGGTTAAAAACAGATTCCAGATTTATTAATCAATTTTAAGATTTGTAAAATTATATCATTAATCTTCTTTAGACAATCATGTTAGTATATATAATTCATGAATAAAATTACTAATAAACTTAGGTATCTATATATATATATATATATGTATAAGATTTACTTACAAAATATGGAAGTTGGTCTCAAATAAAAATCAAATTATTGTCAATATTATTATATTATTAGTTTAGTTTTAATTTGATAAAAACTTTGAAGAATACAATGAGCATTTAAAATAATATATTTTTTTACAAATATTCGTAACTTCACTCGTCGCTTTACTCTCGTAAAAAGTATTTTTCCATCCTTAAAGTGGAAAAGAATTGCACCATATAGATGTGAAGTCGTCTTTTTATTAACAAACGAATATTCACAGAACCAAGTCAGAATAACATTCGCTTTGTACTTAAATTAGCTTCTGTATGAAGCGAAACAAATATATTATATCATGTTCCGAATCTTTATTCTAAAGTATTATTATTAGTATTTAGTCTAAAGTGTTCTTCTAAATACAGACTTTAAAAAGCTTGTATGGAACTCTATTAGGTAAGTTACGTCAGCGTACAAGTACAATTCAAATTTCCATCCTGGGCAGTTATGGGAGCTTTTAAACGACACTAGACGTGGCAAGCGCCTCGATAACCTTATTAATGGGACTATGAGCACACCTCTATACACTTAAATAATAACGCGTGTGTCCTTCCTTTATAAAATTTAAACTAGAAGCTGATACACATACGTCTACACACATAACATTCTTCGTATGTAGTTAATACATAGCAAAAAGTATAAAACCGAATTCCTCAATACAACATCACTTCAAGGGAATTCTGGCAAAGGTTCTATATGAAGACACGCAATCAAAGTTATTTAAAGAAATTTCGCTCGGTAGGCTGATCCGGCTCGAGGCGGCACTATTCTACTATCGTTTCGCGAATCCCTCCTTCGAAGGCTTCAACCCATGATTATCGACCACTCGAAACTTGAACTGTGACCTTTTGCCTGCAGACCCTCAATTAAATTTCCATTCGTTTACTGAAACACATTTTAGCTAGAATTTCGAAGCATTTTATAAAATGTTTTGGTTACGCCGAGGGCGACTACGCCTGTAGGCGACTAATTTACAGTTTTCAGTTCTTTTTTAAAAACGACCACATTATTATAGCGAATGTATAACACATTGTAGTGGTGCAAATAAGCAACGTATATCACTGCTATTTCTTTTAATAAGTTTAGTCATATTAAAATATCGATTAAATAAATTCTTCATTAAAACTGTTACGTCTTTATATTTGTACTATAAGCCTACTAGTCAACATTAGCTAAAAATATAGTCACACGTGGCCAAAGCTGAAAATAATTGTTGCCAGTCGTCATCGCGATCCAACTGTCTACAATATTGGCTTCGATGGGGCCGTAAATAAATAAAGGTCACTCCAAATCTCCCCCCTGCAAGTATAATAAAATGGCGTCATCGGTATAGAATTATAGAGTGTTCTGATCGGCAGGTATGAGAAAGGCAGAAAGGTTAGGTCGTCGGCGACGTCGCTTTCGCGGGGTCGGCACTCACCTCCCCCTGACCTTTAAAGTGGAGTCCCGCGGGAGCGCGTAATCGCGCCGCATTACCTCACGACATATCCCTGAAACGGTCTCATTACATAGACGAGGGATGGCTTTGGGTGAAGTCGAGCGGCGGACTGGGAACACCTGTGTAGGTGGGCCGGAGCCGAGCGTGTCCACCGCGTACTGCTGCAGCCCGGCTGGCGGCGCGACGGCGCGTCTCGCCACCGCCGATGTCAGACGCACCGCTAGACATGTACCAAACACGTATCCGAAACTGAACCAATTGTATCCGAGACCTATCATGAAAGTTGCTTTTATTGTACCACGTGTGCCTGCAGGTACTGGTAGTTAATATTGTTGAATATGCTATTGCAATTTTGTAATTCAACGATAAGTGTAGAAATCTCGTACTGAGGTGTAATAGAGGAAATAATGCATAGCCTAATGCAACATTTGTAACTTATCCGTAACTAATCGGTTAGTCCGGTGATTACATTTGAACTGAATTAAATAAATAAATAATGTATAAATAAAACCATAAATGATAATTTTTCGAATTTGATTGAACTTGATGAAAAAAGATCAACCAATTAATTCTTCAGCTTCTTTGCATTAATATATGTTTTGAATACATAAACGAGAACCTATCTTGAGCTCTGCGTATACTATCCGCGACGTCCCTCCCTAGCCGGTTAGTTGGGGTAACGCGCATGCGCGCTAGGCGCTACTTAAAAATGAATTCCTGGTTATCGCACTGTGAGGCACACGTCGGTGACGGCGGCTGCGTGTCGTACTGCGGAGTGTACGCGGTGAGGACCGCGCCCGAGCGCCGAGCGTGGCGAGCGAGGCGAGGCAGGCGAACGCGAGTGCCGGGGTGTGGTCGTGCCAGTGCGTGCAGTGTCGTGCAGTGGTGCAAAGTATGCGGTAGGCCGCGCCGCGCCGCGCCGATGCGCCCGGGGTGCTAGCGGCCGCGGCATGGCGCGCCGCGTGCCCGCGCTCGCGCCCGCCCATCTCCACACGCACCATGAGCGACCTGCAGGCCACCTTCGAGTTCTCCATCGAACTCTACAAGTTCTACAATGTCGACCTCTTTCAGAGAGGGTGAGCTTCTATTTAAACCGATTGACTTACTGATAACGACTGATAAAGCGTTTTACATACTACGAACAAGCTCATGACATTGATAAAATATGTTAAACAGGACCTTTTATTAATCAAACGTCTCTTCTCGGTACATAAGTGATATTAAACTACCGAACATATTCCATTTCTTTTTTATTAAGGTATTTTTTGTAAATTCAAAAAAACTAAGTACTTATTATATATAACAGTTCTTTTAATGCTGAGAAGAGTACTTAGACTGCGATAGCCAAGAGTACTACGATATGAGTCTTTAGAACATTCCATGATCAAGACAAATGGTCGGCGGTATAATGGTGTCCGTCCATAGATTTTAACCTTATACTCTTACGTTTTAGGTTTCTATTAAATACATACATGAATTTATAGAATTAGCTATTAAAAATTGATAAGGATTACACGAACTGAATTTATTTCATCAATTCTGAAAAGTCAATACAAACGTTACCTTTAACTATTATAGCCTCAGTTGTGGAGTCGTAACAATTATCTAACACCTCATACAACATACCTTAGTTCTAACACATTTCTAGATATAATATTACTAGAAATGTAAAAAAAATCGTTTTCAAATTCTTTTGTATGTACGTATTATGTAGATTTGAACGTACCCAGCGACTACCGTTAGGTACTCGGGCTACGTAGTAAAGGCACTTCAACGTAATCCTTGTCAATCTCATTAAGTAGTCCTGACCAAAGAAAAAAGCCTTTCCATTCTTTTCTTTAACCAAGTCAATAAAAGTAAATAAATCACTGCTGTGTCATGTGTTCACCAAACGTTAACCTAGTTTATGGTAATTAAGTGACACTAAATAGTAACGATATAAGAGCCCTCTGGTGTCAGAATTTAGAGCTAGTCTAGAGGTGTAATAGACTTACATAAATGGGAATATTGTGTGCTAGTGAAACGGGACGATTTATTTTTTAATGGTTACCAATTCTAAAAGAAAGAAAAAAATCAGGTTTAAATTCTTTTTAAACCGAGTTTAGATAGGGTTACGTACATATACTCGTATGTATAATTATGACATGAGCAGCTGTTCCCTGCCACGCTTCGCTTTGGTATTTGGTTCTGCGATTGCATTGACGAAAATGAGAAACAAAACTGACGAGAAAAATAGATAACAATCTCTGAAGAGCGTTGTGTATCGTGTCCAAATTTGAGTTCAATTGATGCAGAACTTTTTGAGTTTTTGAAGCGCACACAAATCAACTTAACATTTATAAATATAGATTTCGCATTATACGTTAGTTACGAATAGTAGGTAACAATGACAAATATTGGCATGTAAAGCATTTGTAATACATAGTTAAATAGAGATAGGTAATGATTTGGCTATATTTGTAGGTTTTCATTTAGTATCTAGTAAAATCACAAAAAGGAATATTATCCTTCGAAGAAATTAGTATAGCTACCCATGTTTAAGTTTTATCAGCTTAAGAGTGAAGAAATTTAAACATAAAATTTTGTCATAACGTGCCTTTTAGACCAGTTTTACACAAGTCTACTCTTGTCAGTTGGTGGTTAGAATCAAGAGAGTTCTCTTGAGCTCGGATAGGATTCGCAAACCAACGTGATACAGATAATTACTGATGTTACAATCCTTTATAGACTGAAAACCGCATACAATCTGAGGGCTAGACTAAAAAATAATAAATAAAATATAAATCATCATTAGCTTATCACCGTCCACTGCTGAACAAGAGAGGCCTTCGTTCAGCAGTGGACGGCGATAAGTTAAGGAGCGCCAACTATCCCGGTCTTGGGCTGTCCGCATCCATCCGCTGAAAGCCACTTTCCTCAAGTTTTCTTAAAATGAAATAGGGTTTAAATAAAACAAAACAAAATAGTATGGCTTTTAAACTAACTTTATTTAAACGATCAATTAAAACTCACCACAAAAATAAGACGTTTAAAAAAATTATGACTGCCCTCACCCACCTCGGTCTGTGCGCCATTATGATTGACGACACGAATTGAACAGTCGTCGTCCAACCCCCCTTTAATTAAACGAGGAGCTGTATTGAGTTATAGCTAACACTTAATTAGTAATCGTAGCTTACTTACTAAGGATATTCGTTGATAAGTTCGGAACACATTCAGAATTCTGGATAATTTTAACTTTTATTGTACACTAGCTACCAGCCCCGGCTTCGCGCGTCTACTATATAATAGTATGCATATAAACCTTCCTCTTGAATAACTCTCTCTATTGATGAAAACCGCATTAAAATCCGTTACATAGTTTGAAAGATCTAAACTTACGAGAACGGGAAGCGACTTCATTTTACACTATGTATAGAAATTGCCCAAAACTCGTGAATTCATACAATAATTTTAAATATATAATAATTTTAAATAGTTTAAAATTACAATTGTCGTCACTGTACCTACTTGTTAAACAAAAACAGACCCGGAGCACTAATTTGGTTCTACGTCTGTATAATACTGTGTTTCTAATAATACAGTTGTATAGGAATAAAAAATAATTTATGTAATATTATGTACCTTATAGTAACACAAAATCAAAATTACAGTGATCTATCATCGATCTATCATCATCATCACCCTATCGCAGTCTACTGCTGAACATAGGCCTGTCCTAGTACACGCCACTTCGATCAAGTTTCGGTTTCTCGCATGCAAATCTTCACTCCACCTGGCCTATGGGTATATGTAACATATTTGTTAGATCAATACAACACAGAACTGTTTAAGTTAATTCGTATAGAGATCCATACTTCAACCTCGTGACTCCAATTTTATGCCTAATGTGCTCTGTCCTACATCCGTAAATTATTTACGGTATAAATATTTTTTACCCAATCTTCTTTAAGAAGAATATTCGAGTGGTTTACTTTCTTGCACTTATTCTCTATTTCTTAACCTAGAATTTATTAGGTACTTTTACCCGCATGTAAGGTAGCTCGCTATCTCGTTTTGAATACTTCTGGCGAAGTACCTATTTGTAAAGTTCCATGATGATTGGTTAAGTAGTTTTGACCTGAAAATGTGTTAGTTTGTTTAGTTTTTAACTAAACAAACTAACACATTTTCAGGTTTATAAAATTAACTAGCGATCCGCCCCGCCTTCGTACGGGTGCAATGTAGATACTACTACTCGTATATGGTGTAAGTGTGGACTAATTAATTATAACATTGTTATGATACGACTATACTACAGGACAAATTTATATTCATTATTTTTTTCTTTCCGTGTAGTGACGAATTAAGAATATAAAGTGTCACCACGACTACTCATCCCGTGGATGTCGTAAAAGCCGAATGAGGCAAAAAACTAGGCAGGACAACAGCACTGTAAAGAGAAGGAACACTTGGAACAAACCCTATACCCACCCATCTGGCCATAGTAGGCCAAACCCTTACCGTGGGAGAGCCAGCCCCGGCAAAAATGGGCTGGCTCGACTGGTGCGATACCAGTGAAATACAACGAGGGATTGCCAAGCAACTTCTGCAACATCACGGGTCTACACTCCAACCCTAACGCTGTCCACCACTACCTCGAGACAATGAAGCAGGCCTTGCTCTTTTTAACCGAGACGCAGATATCATCTCCATAGGACACATCCTAATTCTCCTGCCCTGGCTATTATATGTAACACTAATATGTGGCTAGGGCTGGAGTGTGCGTGTACATTAGAAATGATATCAGTTCTCAGAAGAAAGAGACCTCTCCATCTTGTGGCTTCATGTAGACAGCGACGACCAACCCCGCGTCTATGCATGCCTCTACAGGTCCCATAGCGGTGAAACCTTAACTGACCGATTGATAGACCACGTCCAAATGGCTACAGATTCTGTGCTGCAGCAGATCCCATCCGCAGAGATCATGATACTTGGCGACTTTAACGCTCACAACGTCGCAACGCAATACAACTTTGCCTCCAGGTCCCTCAAAAGAGACATTGCCAGGGTGAAATCGGAGCACATCAGCCGGATTGGTGAGAGACAGGCGACTTGTGCATTTTGATCTCTTGCCACGGCTGTCCAGGGAAAATTCTTTAGCCAATCAATTCCACTTCTGTAGATGAGCGATAATTCGTTGGCCTATAATGCCAAGGAAAAAGCCGATCTCCTAGGAAAACTATTTGCATCCAACTCGACTTTGGATGACGGGGAAACCGGATTTCGGAAATCAGTTCGTAAAGCACAGTGCAGTAAAGCACTCTTTTCCCTCGATATCCATAAGTCAAGTGGGCCCGACGGGATCGCCCCTATCGTGCTAAATATGTACGCTCCGGAGTCGGCACCGGTTTTAACGCTCTCTTACTCCCTAGGCGTCGTTCCAGACTCCTGGAAAGTAGCGTTTGTGCTCCCGATCCCTAAAAAAAGTGACAGCACTGATCCATCAAACTATAGGCCTATAGCCAAAACCCCCTTATTCTCTACGATTATGCTAGCTCCTCTGGTACTTAGAAAATCACCATTAAATATAATGCATCGACATATCGAGCGAAGTCCAGTTTCGGGGTCAATTAAAGGGAAAGGTGAAATTGGCCTCGAAGAAGCTCGGTTTGCTAAACAGATCGAGGCAGTATTTCAATCCGGCGCACCGCCTTCAACTGTAAAAGGCGCAAGTCCGGCCGTATATGGAATACTGTTCTCATCTCTATTCAGGGGCACCCCAGTACCAGCTTCTTCTTGTCGACCTTGTCTTCGTTGACCCGACTTGATCTCTGCTTGATCCCTTGGCGTTACGTACAGATGTAGCTTCACACTGCATCCTCTATCGTATATATCATGGAGAGTGCTCCGAATAATATCGGCCGCAACTTTCCACCATCGCTCCACACGGCAAGACATTCATCCCACCACTTGGATAACTGGCGCTCCACTACTATGCGCTTTTCAAGACACTTTTTTTCTCGCACAACCAATCTGTGGAATAAGTTATTGTCTGTGGTAATTACCGGACTGATACGACTTCCAAACCTTCAAT